AAACTATTAGAACAACTTCGTATAATTACCAGCCAGCTTTTAACTTTATTTTTTACCTTTTTTTTACTTTAGCTTAAAAGTAACTTTTAGCTTAAAAAGGAGATATGTCAAACGATCTCTAAAGCATATGTATCAAACCCTACAATGAAATACCATCTTTCTCAAGTATAGTTTTTAGAAATACCATGTTTGTTTCAATGTTTTTCACCAAAAACCCATCTATCCAATTTGTCTGGATTTATGAAAAACATAGATATCCACACTGTTTAGAAACCCAATTTGAAGGTGGGATTTTTCGGAAAACCAGTTATTTGGCTTTTAATGCACTGTTGATTTCATAAAGTTACCTAATTTTCCCAGTAAAGTTTTTCCCCACCAAACAACTTTTTTTTACATTTTTCTACTTATCTCACTTTATCTATCTTTACAATCATTTCTCTATCTATCTCATTTTTCTACTATTCCAAAAAAAATTTCTGAACCAAATGTCCCGTAAGCCAAGAAGCAGAAAGATAGCTTTCTGGGCATGTTTATTTGACCCATAATGCGGTCCAGTTATCAACCACATCGAAATTCACCCCTTAGATATGTATCTTTCTCTCATTTACATGCTTCATCTTTGTTATGGACCTGGATAGACCCATGTTATAGAAGATCCAAGAAGGGCTAACAGCTTAGAGAATATTTTTTGATTAATGCTATGTTAATGGATCAAGAATTGGGACCCTAATATTCTTAAGAGACCCATAATTCCACTATTGCCAAGTAATTCATTTGTAAATAAAGGGTTAAGTTAATAAGGTACACACATTCTAAACATTTTCTCTCTTTACTGTTATGTTATCACTGTGCCCACACACCACCCATTTTTCTAATGTCGTTATTCTTAGTGCACAATGATCTGCTACGCTCAATGGCATCTAATTCATAAATATCTAATAGAGCATCTAGATCCAATATAAACATATTAATCTCTGGGTAGACATCTTTATCCCTAATACAGAACAACCTTATTTATTTATTAACTTAGTATCAAAATTCTTGCTTGTACATCATCATGGCATTTTGAAGATCTTCAAATGCACAAAGTAATTTTGACCAGCATAAATCTGAATATATAATATTAGATGGAATTCTAATTTTATCAACTTTTTAAAGTCTTAACTATTTATTTATAGTTTATCATATCTTAATTGATAAGTTACTTTTAATTAATTCAGAAGCTAAATGAGTTGAACTGGGCATAAACTGATTCAAATATTAGATAATTGCAAATAAAAAATTAATAATCTTGGAAGAATAGAAGAGGCACGCAACTTCAATACTCCTTGGGAAAATTGTCTTTAGAAAACATGTGAACCGTGACCCTTGACTCGATTTATTTATTATTACTTAAAAGTTTTGAAAATAACAGAATCTCCTTAAACTTGAAAAAACCGCTGTTTCCTGGAACATGCAAAAAAATCCCAATGCCATTAAGGATTATATTGAATTTAAAGTGAAACTATAATCACCATGACTAATTTAACCTTTTATTTATACAACATAGTATTTCCCATTATAAACACAGATTTCATAATCAAGTCTCGTTCTTCTGTTCACGTCAGGTACACTAATTGTTTAAGCAATAAAATATGAGGTTAGTTGGCATGAGCCATGCAATTATTAATTAACCCTTGTATGCCGAAATAAGATTGAAAATGTGGCGTTAGAATACCGCAAACTACCCTTCAAAATTCGAATACATCTTTGGCAAAATATTGCTATTAATGTAGCATTTGTAATTGCTGCGTCATTACAATATGCAACGACGGTAAAAGATAAATTTAATTTTTTTTATTTGATTATTGAATTCCACTCATAAACTTAAGTCGTACGCGTATTGACTATATAGAATGTCTAACAATAAAAAAAACGAATCATTCTAATATACAAAAGTGTCATTCTAATAAATAAACTTAAGTAGTACACATCTTTCTCTCTATCAAGCTACTAATATATAAATGTGTCATTTGTACTTCAAGAAACGATATGGAGAACTTTTTATTAACCATGGGACTGACGTAGAATTACAAACAGAAATAAATCATTCTATGTGCAATGACATTTTGAAATAATTGCAATTATATCCGTTGAAATTGGAAACTCAAATGTAATTTCAAACATTTCATTCAAAGCGTTTGTGTTTGACTCGACGAAAATATTAATAAATTGATTAGAAACAAAGGGTTTCACTCTCATGGCTTGTGACCGAGCGACGACTATACATAAACATTTCTTTATTTTAATTTATATAATTAATTGGTTTGTTAATGCTTAGCACTCTACACTCTACAGTTTCGTGTTAAAAATTCTTGTAATTAAGTGGAAAAGTTTCAACTATCAATTCACACATGTTACACTACCAAAAAAAAAAAAAAAAACATGCTACGAAGACTTGGCATTCCAATTCTATTTTCGTAATGAATCTGTATAAGAAATGTTTGTAAAATTATTTTTATAGTAAAAACCTAATTAAAGTAAAACAATGATGCCTAAGCTACATAACTGAGGACATGTATTAAAATTTTTGCCTGGATGAGAAGTATATTTTAAAAGATAAAAGACAGAAATATAATTATTAATTAAAAAGTCAATGACTGATATAATGATAAAAGTATATGTACTTATTCAATAAACTATAAAATTATTAAAATCAATCCACCGACATATTCAATATACGTAAATCCAATTACTTGCTTAAGGTGCAAGTAAGCAGGCCATGAGCATTTTTAACCAGTATGAGGAGTAACTGCGAACAATTGAACAGACAACGCGTCAGCGTAAATAACGTACAAAATCTTTGACTTTAATATTTGTTTTTTGTTTTCGAAATTCATGGACAAATTGATTCTTTGACGGAGTAGAGAAAAAAAAATAACTTTTCATGTTATAATTATGTACTATTAGTAGTAGATAGAGTAAAAAAACTAAAAGAACACAACTTATATTCTTTTAAGCACAAAAAGTTTTTCCGTATATATATATTGGGTTCCTATAGACACAAATCTAATGTGGGTTCCATCCACACTTCAAGAAAGGGTAAAAGATTTTTTCGGTCAATAAAGATAAGTTGTTTTGATGAGGCCAAAATGACGTCGATTTGTGACGAAAATTAAAGTGTTTTTGTAATTTTAATATATGCAGGATTATATTAATTTTTATTATTATAATCTTTTAATCTTTTAACCCTATAATAACATCATTTTGAGCTCATTGAAGATAATTTTACCTAAATATTTTTTCCTAAAAAAAATATCATAATCCTTCGACCGATGTTGTTGCATGAAAGTAGAGTATCATTTCTGCGAAATTGATTTCTCATTTATATTTTATTGGAACATGATTGGTTAGCAGTTAGCACAGCACTTCCAATGTCCTAATTAGCCTTCGAGTGACTAACTTGCCCTTCACCGTCTCTGTTCAAATGACCAATATGTCCTTTTGTAGAGCATGGAATCAAGTTCTCTGTGCGGTGTGTCTTAGTCGTGTTAAGAGCACAAAAATTAACAACAAAATAAAAATATATATTAATTGAAAACGAAGATATTGTTAACTAAAAAGGAGATATACATATTTTACGTAATTATCAAACTATTAATTTGAAAGAATAAAATGGAATAAAAATAATTTAAATATCAACAATAAGTTTTATTTTAACATGTTAATTTAGTTTATGATGAGTGGTACCCTTGACATATTTCTAGCTTGAATCTTATAACACTCCTTTTCTTTCTTTATTTTTTAAATATTTTAAAGTTGTTAAACAAAAGTGAAGGATTATTAAATATTTGATTTCACTAAAAATAAGTTTATTAAAATAAATTCTCCTTTACTAAAATGTCTAAATTATTATTATTATTATTATATTATTAATCCATTATCCCGCTTATTACTACCAAGTGTAAAGTTTTTTTTAAAAAAAGAAGGGAGTATTTATATATATATATATATAATTTTAAATAATTTAAAAAATGATTAAACATATTTTCGTGTATAATATTTATGATAAATTGGAGTTAATAATAATATTTATTTCTAAGGGTTTGCTTGAGTCAGGGGTTCAAACCCTGCCTCAAGTAAATTCTTGAAAAATCTTTAGGGACCAGAGGACATGCCTCTCTCGTCGAATGGAGAATTAGTCTCATCCTTCCTTCGGTAGCAAAGCTCAATGCACTCGTTGTTCCAATGAGGTGCTAGCCTTCAGGGCCGTACCCCGAAGTCAAGGTGACCGGAGGAGGTTGAATGCGGATACGAATACCTCCAGATTAATACTAAAAGGAAAAAGAAGATATACATATTTTGCTTAACTATCAAACTATTAATTTAAAAAAAAAATGGAATGAAAAGAATTTAAATATCAACAATGAGTTTTATACTTTTATTTTAGGGTTTCTCTTTTCTCATGTCACATGAGATATCATCTCTCATTCATAGATACAATAAGTGGTGGAGCCCACCACTTGTTAAAAAAGAAGAAGAAATAAAAAGAATATCACGATTTTCGATGTCTCATAACATGAAAAAATTATCTCCTTTTACCTAAGAAAATAACTTCCCTTTATTTTAACATGTTAATTTAGTTTATGATGAGTGGTACGCTTGACATATTTCTAGCTTGAATCTTATAACCAATGTTATTAAACTCGACCCGGTCATCGACCCGGTCGAGGTACTGGGTCACTGGGTCAACCAGTGGGTCACTGGTTCAACCGCATGACCCGGTAAGTATATTCAAACCTGTAATTTATACTCAAATACCTGTAAAAAAAATACCAATTCCAAATATTCTAATTTAAAATGCAATTAATCATATACTATTGTCCAACAAAAGATAAAACAAATATATAATACTTGTCTAGTTCTTAAACACTTAATATCTAGCACAAGTTTAGAACAATAACTCTTGTCGATATCAAGAGAAAACAAACAAATCAAATTACTAGCACAAAAACATATAATTATGCCCACGGAGGCAAAGTTGTGTCAATTAATTCATCCTCTCCTCCTTCATCAAATAAATCCAAAGCTTGACCAACATTGCCTTCAGTTTGATTTGCATTTTCCTTGATGTTGTCTTGTGCCTCATCTTCATCATCATCATCCAAATTTAATTGATCTAAAACAAATATTATTTTTTCATGTAAGTTAGTTATTAACATGAAGTAATCAAACAATCAAATAATCATAGAACAATAAGTAAACACACCATTATCATCTAGAGTTGGTTGAATGGACATATTTGCAAGCTCATTCCGTAAGGTTTCCATTTCTTCAGCTCAAATGTTTCAAAATTTATTGGATCATAGTTTTGATTCTTCAATCGATTCCTATGCATACCAAAAAAAAATTGTTCAATTTTCAACATTAGAAATACTTGGAGAAATAATTATATAAAAAAAAGTAAATACTCAATAATACCTTTGTGCCAGCCTCAAGTTGTAACGGACATAGACAAGATCATTAAGCTTTTGGTGCTCTAATCTATTTCTCTTATTCGAATGAATATGTTCAAATGCACTCCAATTGCGTTCACAACCTGAAGCACTACATGTTTGACTTAAAACACGAATAGCCAATTTTTGCAAATTTGGTGCACCACATCCATAAGATCCCCACCATTGATCTAGAACATTGCATGTGATAAAATAAATTAGTATTAATATTATTCAGCAATAATAAGAATTAATGATCATAAAAAAAAAGATATCAATGATAAATTTTACTTGGCATCACGGTATTTCGTTCGCGTTTAGCAGATGGCCTTCCAAAATCTAACTCAGCATTTTTGAATATTCTCATCTCACTTGTCAACTTAGAATTTAAATCAGGATCCCCATAAGCATATTTCTCAATGACATCCAAAAGGCCTGATGTTGTGAACTTATGTTTTTCAAATTCTTCATCATTGTAACGACAACCTGGGTTCAACCAATAACCAGCAGCATGAAGATTTTTGCGAAGCTGTGAATCCCAACGACGATCTAAGATTTGCAAGTAAGGCTCCACCTTCTTCTTGTTTCTTTGAAATCTCTTTATCATCTCCTCTCTAGCTTTAAATATAGCTTGATAAAGAAAACCCATGGCAGGTTTGTTTTCACTGTCAACAATACGTAACACACGAATAAGTGGCTCAGTAAGCTTCACAATCTCAGCACATTGTTTCCAAAAATTAGAATCTAAAACTTGTTCCACAAATTTTTTTGCCTTGGCCTCCTTAGAATAAGTTGAGCTTGTCCAATCTCTAGAAGTTACCATAGCCCTTAATGCATCTTTTTGAGCCAATATGCTTTGTAATGCAATAAAATTAGTGGCAAAACGAGTAGGAGCTGGACGAAGAATTTCCCTTCCACCTGTATATTTTCTCATCAAATGCAATGGATGACAATGGTTTATATTTAAAACCTATCTGATTTTAAAATAAATTATCTTAAACTCTTGCAATATTTTCCTTAAAGGTTATCTTGTGCCTTTTCATGTCAGTTTAGTTAAAGTTTCTTATATTATAGAATAGAAACATAAGAAACTATACTGAATTGGAGAAGTTGCAGTGATGCAATATGGAAGGTACCATTGTTGTTACTCTTCAGTCATTGTTAAGTGACAAGAGAATCTGTCTCACATTCTATCATTGTTTGAGTTCTACTACTATCCTACTTGTGTTAGAAGTAAATGTTATTTGCTCTATAAATCTAGCTAATTTGACAATGAAACTCTTCCCTTTTATAGATGTGAGGGAAAAAAATTAATCTATAAAAATATCCTATTGGTCTTAAAATTAATCTATAAAAACTCTTCCCTTTTATGAATCTAGCTAATTTGACAATGAAACTCTGTTGGCAGAACAGAGTGGTCTTAAAATCATTGAAGTACATTAGAGATTAGACTCAGATTTTCCTAACGGTCCATAAAAATATTTTTCTATTTACATATCCTATCCTTTCGTTATTTTTTGTCCAATTTTTATTACCCAAATGGCCGACACAGGTTGACGATCTAAAGTGAAAGTGAAGATCTAAACGAAAAAACAAACAGGTTGACGAACTTCCTTACAACACCGACACAATTACAACCATGGTTACAGCACAGACACACACAAAAAAACATGCATAAAAGAAAAGAAAAAACGCAAAGTTAGGGGAACCTTACCAGAAGATCTAAACAAAAAGAAAAAACTCAGAGTGAAGAACAATGCTTGAAACTTGAGTTGACGAACTTGCTCAATGCCTCGCTGACGAACAGTGCTTGAAACTAGCTGAGATGAGATGAGACTTGAGACTTGAGGGTTTGAGGGTTTGAGACTAGCTGATTAGGAATAAAGCGAGTCAAGTGGGTCATGTGACGACGTCGTATTAGTTTTTTTTTTTTTTAATGAATACGCATGACCCGTCCGGGTCACCGGTTCTCCTAAAACCCGGCCGGTTCACACCGGTTCGTACCGGTTCCATGACAAGTCCGATCCAACGTCCAACCCGGACCGGTTTAGGGACCGGGTCACCGGTTTCCGGGTCGGTCCGGTTTTGATAACACTGCTTATAACACTCCTTTTCTTTCTTTCTTTTTAAAATATTTAAATGTTGTTAAACAAAAGTGAAGGACTATTAAATATTTGATTTCACTAAAAAAAAGTTTATTAAATTAAATTATCCTTTACTAAAATGTCTAAATTATTATTTTTATTATTATTATATTAATCCATTATCCTGCTTATTAATACAAAGTGTAAAGTATTTTTTTTTTTAAAAAAGAAGGATATATATATATATATATATATATATATATATTTATAATTTTAAATCATTTAAAAATTATTAAACATATTGTCGTGTATAATACTATAAATTGGAGTTAATAATAATACAACTCTTTATTAATAACCTTTTTAGGTTTATTTAATATTTTTGACAGAGGTAGAAAAAATCTTATCAAAGTGGCAAATGACTTTAGTATATTAGCATGCTTGGGAATACATTATTTTTTTAAGAAAAAAATTCTTAAAAATTTTGGGAATAGTTAAAAAAAAATCAGTAGTATTACTTTGAATCACTTATACCCCTATGTTTTTTTATAAGCACTTAACCTCTTGCGATTATTTTCATCCATACCCCTCCTTAACACTGTTAGAAAATTAACTAAATATACTTAATCTACCCTTCTTAGAAGAAGAAAATAAAATGATAAAGAAAAAAAATAAGACCAAACGTTATGAAAACTTATAACACTTAATAAAATACAAAAATAAAAAATAGCAAAAAAAATCAAATGTTGTTATGTGTCTAAATAAAAAAAATTATAAAAAAAATAAGATCAAATATATTAAAAATCATTGCAGTGACAGAAAAGACTAATTTAAAAAATAAATTCTAAATGAAAAAAATTGAAGATAAAAAAATTGAAGAAAAATTAAGATAAAAAATAAAATAAAAAACAAATAGAACAAAAAGAAATCACAGTTATGATTTTTTAATATATTTGCTTTTATTTTTTTCTATTTGTTTTTGTCGTTGGTCTAATTATTCTTTTTATTTAGATATATTTGATCTTTTTTTATCTCTGTATTTTATTCTCTCTCTTTTAATTTTTTTATGAAAATCTTTAGTAAATAGGATGACATAAGACTAAAAAAATCGAGAAGAAAATTACAATAAAAATTAAGATAAAAAATAAAATAAAAAACAAATAGAACAAAAAGAAATCACAGTTATGATTTTTTAATATATTTGCTTTTATTTTTTTCTATTTGTTTTTGTCGTTGGTCTAATTATTCTTTTTATTTAGATATATTTGATCTTTTTTAATCTCTGTATTTTATTCTCTCTCTTTTAATTTTTTTATGAAAATCTTTAGTAAATAGGATGACATAAGACTAAAAAAATCGAAAGAAAATTACAATAAAATGACCCAAAAATAAAAAAGAACAAATATATCCAAATAAAAAAGAACAAATATATCCAAATAAAATAGAACAAAGATAAAAAAAGAAAAAATAATAAAATTAAATAAATTAAATATATTGAAAACTCATAAGTAATTTCCTTTTATTCTATTTCTTTTTTATTTTATTTTTTATCTTAATTTTTTCTTCTAATTTTTTGTCTTCAGTATATATATTTTTTTCTTGTGGATTTTTTTTATTTTTAGTCTTTTCTGTCACTGTTGTGATTTGTAATATATTTAGTCTTATTTTTTCGTATATTTGTTTTCTATTCTATTTTCTTCTTTTATACAATGATTTTCTTTTTTTATTTTGACACATTTGATTTTTTTTACTATTTCTTTCAGTTTTCATGACATTTGGTCTTTTTTATCACTTTATTTTCTTTTTCTAAGAAGGGTAGAATAGATATACTTAGTTAATTTTCGAACAGTATTAAAAAAGGGTGTAGATAAAAAAAAATCACAGGGTTTAGTAATTAAAAAAAAGCATAAGAATGTAAGTGATTCAAAACAATACTACAAGGGATTTTTGAACTTTCCCCAAAAAAAATTTATATTTTTTTTTTACTTTAAAAGACAATAATTTAAACAAGTTTATAATATGTAGTAATATAAACAAGGTGAATAAATGGTTAAAAGTAAGGTGTTTAAATTAAATGATTAAGCTTTATAACTTCGTGTTCAATTTAAATTTCGATCTTTCAATTTTATTATTTTGAATATTAATAATTATTTAAATTTGGTTATTTAAGAATCAATATTTTAATGATTAAAATTATAAAAGCATTTCTTCGTAGAAAATAAGAATTACTAATTTAATGAGTACAAACTGTAAAGAATATAACCTAAAGAAATATAAAAATAATCAATACTTAATTATAAACATCAAAAATATAAAGGTTAATATCTATAAAAAAATAACTATAAAATTTAAAATCTGAATAAAAAGTTATAATAACTGATCGTTATACATGTCAAGTGATCTAATTTGAATTCTAGGTTGTGATGTGACCTAAATCTTATTTTATTTTTATTTTTGGAGTTACCCAACCCTAATTATCTCTTTGAGACGAGTTGGCTCCCTCCGGTATCCCCACGAGCTTCGACTCTTTGAGCCGGCTATGTGACCTAAATCTTATTGCATGCATAACGTGTTTGATAAAAATTAAATTATTGTAATTAATTATCTTTAAATGAAATAAACAAAGAATCAACAAATAGTCTAATATCATTATATAGTTTAAATATTGAAAATTAAACTTTTTTTAGTAAATAACCTGGAGTTATCACATACAACCTTCTCAAACTACCTTGTTCTTGGAGTACGAGGGTGTTAATGGACCGAGCCGAGTTTTGGTCTTAAAAAGCTAAGCTTGTATTTAAATATGTAAGCCTGACCAAGTCTGTTACCTGTTATAAATATAATTATCGGCATGTGGCCTGGTTTATTTACAAAAAATAAAAGTTTGGTTTAGTCTGTTTAAAAAAAAATAAGATAACAAAAATTTATCCAAACATAATATACAATCAACAAGACTAGTAATTTCATAAATATTCATAAATTCAATGTATATCCAAACAGCATAATATAAAACAAAATCATTCAAAAAGTCTGTTTAACCAATAAAATTGGGTGAAATGAATCGAGGAGAAAGAGAGGGCTATTACAAATAGTATAAAAAAAATAAATAAAAAATAATATACTAGGCCAACCTGAGAGGCTCTAAGGTCGAGCTTTAAAATTAGAGCCTGAGGCCTCTTTATTAAATGAGCTTTTATACAAGTTCAAACTTGGTGTCATGAACCAGTTTTAAACATGTAAGCTCAGGTCTTTACGAGTTGAACCAAAGGCCCCTAATTCGTTTAGTACCTCTAAATATTATCCTTACGACTAACTTTTCATTGAAGTAGATGGTACATTGTACTACTATCACCCGAAGGAGAATGAGACTAATTCCCTTTTAAGAAAGAGACGATTTCCCTCTTAGCTCAAAGAAATCCATGAATTTGTTTTTCCAAGTTTAAATCCCTTACCAAATCTCACTATTGCGAGCATAGAAAGAAGAATCAAATCTCAGCGGGCAATTAATAGTGTAACAATGTATCTTCGGTTTTTTATTGTCTTGCTTTTTATCATTATTTTTATTTCCATTTCTGTGGAATTAATTAATGTTTTCATTGTGAACTATGTATCAGTATTATGGGAAACTACAAAAATACACATACGCGTTTACAAGGTTTGACTTCATTAAAAAAAAAAATCCGTTGGGTTTTTTTTTTTGGTACATTGCCAGGAGGTATCCCCATTCAACCTTCTCCGG